CCATTAATTATATTTCCAAATAAAATAATGAAAAATTTAAAAAAACATGTGTTTGTACAGGGTGGTCACTGAAAGACTGAATGATGTTGAATGAAAACAAAAATACATGTCTTTTACATTTTTTATTTTATTTGGAAATGTAATTAATGGATTTTTTTCGGTATTATGTGTTAAAAAACAACATCCCTCAGATGACCATCGTTTCTCTGCTCACAAATACAGACTTTTCGAATCCTTCAGTTTTTCAGTGGACACTGGTTATCGCGTTACGAATCTATTAGTTTCGACGGCCAAAAACTAGCTACGTTTCTTCATAAATGCAAATTGAAAAGCGAATTGTTTTTTATGAGAAGCAAGAACTTTGTTAAGTTAAATTATATTATTGTCACTAGATGACAATGTTCATTAAATGTGAAGAAGAAGAAAAAAAACATTACTTCCGGGCAAGTAACTTAATATTTATTAAAAAAAAAAAAAAAAAAGACTAGTCCACATTCGATGTATGGTCAATCCGTTGGAAAATTACGTTTCTGGCCAACGACTTCAGAGAAACTCGTACGTTCTTTTTCACATACTCGCTCTCTCGTCCACTGCTCGTTTCTACGATCTTTGAGATCGAGCTAATTGGAGAGGCATAGCATAGCGGAACTACCCGCGTTGGAACGCAAACGAAATGAATTCTCCGCAGCACGGAGAATCGCCAAACTTTGGCCATTCAAAACTCTCGAGAACTTCGCCGTTCCCGCTGCCGAATTTCGTTTTCGTAGACGCGGAAGTTGGGGAAGGTTTGCGCGCTGGTTCCCAGCGTGTGTACGCGCGTTTTCGTGCGCGATACCCGCAAGTTTCTAACTTTCCGAATATTTTAATCTCGTCGTCGGGGAGATTTCTCTCTCTCTCTCTCTCTCTCTCTCTCTCTCTCTCTCTCTTGCTTCGCTAGGTTGAAACGTGGAAATCTAAAAAAATCTATTTCCACAACGTTTGATCGAGCGTGGGGAACATATCGACAGCTACGAAACAAAGAAATGGAAAAAATACGAAACGTGAACATTTCTCATGAAATCCGATGTAAAGAAAAATTTTATTGCACGTATATAACAATAGAAACAAGAACAAACAAAAGAATGACGTGAAACGTAAAATATATATTTTATATATATATTATATTATAAATATATATTTAACATAAAAACATAAAATTATTTGATATCAAAAGTATTTGACATGAAAATTATTGAACATTAAAATTAAAAATATTTATATACACACATCAAGATTATTTTCATATATTAATTACGAATAAACAAATGATAATAAAGTCACCAAAAAAACGACAAAACGACATGATTGACTTTTGATTTACAAAATGGTGAATTTGATTTGCAAAAGAGGGTTGTTAATTTGCAGTGTACAAATTATTATTATCTTCTAAATCAACTTGCTCGAGTCTGTTTCTCTTCAGAGAAAAAAATTTAGAGATGCTCTTTGTCTAATTGGTGAAAGATAACGGGATCGGGAACAGGAGATAACGTTGGCGTCACGTATGGCTGCCAGTGCAAATATTAGGATTAGAGAGAAAACGCTTTCGTCGACGATGTGGATAACTCGATTTGTCACGGTAGCGTGATCCAACGGGCGGTATAGGTTTCGAGTCGCTTTCCAGGAGACCGGTTTGGCCGATTCTTGTCCTTCCACGACAAGTTACTGATTCGTTTCTGTTAGCTACAGTGATTCCCATTAACACGTTGACTTTCACTACTTTTCATATTTAATTTAATAATATTAAATACTTTTAGTTGTAATCTTTATAAAATATTACGTTATAATAAAGAAGAACAACGAAAGTGTATTTTTCGTTTCACATCATCCAGTTATTTACGTTATTAAAAATTCATTGTTAAGGAATAATGTTTATCTCATTCTAAATTATTCCGAAGTATTTACAGAAATAAAGATCGTGTCAACGTTTCAACGCGTTGAAAAAAAAAAAAAAAAATCATACGTAAAATTTTCGGTGGTTGTCGTAAAGAGGATATTTGAATCTTCGAATCCATTGTCATTCAGATTCAATCATATTATAGCAATTTGACAATTTATAGCATTTCGAAGAATAGCTGTATTTACTCGTCCGCTACGTAATGTAAAAATATTTTAGAATAAACACGAACGACACGGTTTGAAGATAGTGGCTTCGAGCTTTAAAACGAGCCCAAATTTATCACCGCACGATTTCTTTTTACAAAATTATAACAATGTTTAATGGGAGTCGCTGCATTCAGTTAATCGCGCAACATTTTCTCCCGTTCTGTTTTACCAATCGAGTAAATTGTACCAAAACAATGAAAACCAACGTGACAACAGGGAGAAGAAAAATGCAAAGACGAAAACACTCGTTTCCTCCCTGCTAATTATCTTTCCTCGGGCATAGTCGAAAACCGGAGAGATAGGTTTAACAATTTCTTAGCCCGTTCTGGTTTATCCTCTTTGCGCTGGAATGACGTGTCACGCATATCGAGAATTTTGTCCCAAAATTGCAATATTTTCTCAATTTCAAGTATATTTAAATATACCAGGCAAAACAAATAATAAACTTTATTATTTCTTAGTAATTTCAATCCAGTGACATCATACTGACGAGTTCAAAAGAAAAAGAAAGCGGCGAATTATTGCGTACGGTCACTCGTTATGGTCCGCAATCAGTTGCTAGCGCAAGCGGTTAACCTCTTACGTAGCGCTGGAATGACGTGTCACGCATGTCGAGAATTTTTTGCCCTAAAATTGCAATATTTTCTCAGTTTCAAGTATATTTAAATATACCAGGCAAAACAAATAATAAACTTTATTATTTCTTAGTAATTTCAATCTAGTGATACCATACTGACGAGTTCAAAAGAAAAAGAAAGCGGCGAATTATTGCGTACGATCACTCGTTATGGTCCGCAATCAGTTGCTAGCGCAAGCGGTTAACCTCTTAGCGCTAAAATTATAGTATTTTCTTAATTGTTTAAAAAAGTATATTTAACTATTTATTAATATATCAAAGTATATTTAAATACAAAATTTCAGTATTTCTTTAGTTTTTTAAGAAGTATATTTAACTATTTATTGATATATTAAAGTATATTTAAATATTTATTACCACTCAATAACTTCTGTCCAGTGTTGTCATAACGACGAGTTCAAAAAGAAAGCGACGAATTATCGTATACGGTTTCGGTCACTCGTTATGGTCCGCAATCAGTTGCCAGCGCAAGTGGTTAATCAAGGGTTGTTTTTACGAGGAAATATACGCTCGAGTTGCGTAATAAAGAGGATTTGAAGGTGAACAAGAAACGATTGAGAATTGTTTCAACGAGTTGTTGCAAAGAAAAAAAANAAAAAAAAAAAAAAAAAAAAAAGAAATCGCGGGAAAAGAAACTATCGACTCACCGAGCAGGATGGAAGCGTTCGCTCTCTGCACCAGTTTGTCCACGGTGTTCTTGAACTCCTTCGACTCTTTGATCCGTATCTGCGCTCTGAATACCTCGCCGAGTTTCGGCTTCCCGAGCAGCGCCATTTTTTCCTCGGCGGTGCGTTCCTCCGGCTGCTTCATTTCCGCTGCAACTGCCACCCCTGCCTCGGCTGAAAACAGATTGCATCTCGCTGCTCAAGTGGTTCGATCAACGCGCTACCGGGGAACTCTCGTCGTTGCCGGTTCTACGATCGGGGCACGAGCAAGCTGGACGAAGCATCGATTCCGATTGTCAATTCGACTCGATTCGGATTAGGATTGATCGTTAACGCTGAAACGTACCGAGGTTGAAAAATGTAAAATTAAGGCTCGAAATTTAATTCTTACCGTGAAGATTTCAAATCAGACTCAGAGTTCCTAAAACTCTCTCGTTCATTTAACTCTCGTTAAAACAAAATGAAGAAAATCTTTTCTTTTTTTAATTTAGTGTACCGTTTCCCGCATTAAATCGGCAATTTGTTATCCCTTTCCTTCGTAGAAAAATCTGATCGAGCACGGTAGAAATACGGTAGATATAGGGTGTTCGATTTTAATCTACAAGTCAGCGATTATCTTTGAAATTGTTTGTTATTCAAAAAATATTTCAAACGAATTTCTTTTTTTTTTTTTTGTTTTGTTTTAAGGGAACAGTAATTTGACACACTTAGTTTGTCTCCAGATAAACGCATGTAGGTCACTGCTATTTTTTTCAAGTATAATTATATAATTTCTCTTACGTTAGTCAACGCTGCAGGTCATTTTCTGTAAGAAAAACTGTCAGTTTAGAAGATACTTTGACTTTAATTCTATAAAATCTGTAACACGAAAGACGAGAAAGAACAAGAGCAGCATTCTTGATTGTTGTATATAGAAATGTATCGTATTTATAAAAAAAACATCTCCTAACCTAACGTCTTATATTTTAGACGTAAATAGGTAGTTAGGCTGATACTTTTTTGTATAGAACGATTTGCTGCATTGATTGATGCAAAAGAAAAAATTATACGAAATCAATTATACTTGAAAAAAATAACAGTGGCCTTCACATATCTTCTACACTAGTCTATCTATTTATCTCAAACTAATTGTACCAAATTACTGCTCTCTCTCTCGAAAAAAAAAAAAAAAAAAATGCATCCGAGATATTTCGATGACGGATAGCTTCGGAGACGATTGCAAATGGATTGCTGACATCCTGTATATACAAAATGCCAGTACATTCAGCGTTAATCCGCGGTGGAACGCGGAAACTCTAGAACGAGGTTTCATTCTTTATTCACCGCGAAAGACACGCGGTAAAGAAGTGCTCCCCTCCCGGGGGAGGCTAAGAGCACGAGGAAAATCGATCTCTTGATTGACGCGAACATGGCCTTACGACCGATCCGTTTTATAAATTATGAAATCGTGTAAAACACACACAGGCTCCGTTCGTTGCGCCAGTGCCCCGAACCGTACGCCGGCTGTCGCCAGTAGCGCTACGTGAAATTGTCTAGCGCTACGTGAAATTGTTTAGCTCTACGTTGACCATTTTGGCGCTGGGGGCTGTTTAAATGTTAGATAGCGCTTCCTCGACTGTAACTTACCTTGGCGAAAAATGCCAAGCAACGCGATATAAAAGTAGATCAAACAATAGTAATAATATTAATACAAATACGTAATATTATATTACGTGTTTGTATTAATATTATATAAGTAGATCAAACAGTAGTAATAATATTAATACAAATATGTAATATTGTATTAATACGTTGATACATGATATTAAAACTAACAAGTAATAGTATTAATAACAATGTCTATTTATGCACGTGGTTTAGGTTTAATTGAAAGGCAAGTAATTTGGAGAGGAAGCTGTGATCGATACCTCTTCAGCGACGAATTGTTTACATTCAGTTATAGCAAGGAAATTTAATTCAATTTAATTTTATATCCGAACCGTGCGAACGAAGTTAAACAACACGTAAAAAAAGAAATTAAGTTCACATTTCAGAATTTCGAGAAGTAATTATTTCCAGTTTGACGGTTTGCACGGTTCGAATGGAAGTAGCTTTCTTCTAAGGCGTGAATTAACCGTCCAGATACACGTGGCCAAGGGCGTGAAGAGGTAAAATCGCCGCGAAGCGCGGCTATTTCACATCTCAAGGGGCGAAACTTTTGCCGCCAGTCTCTAACCATTTTCTGAGAAAACGTTCGGAACCCCGGAATAAATATCCGTTTCATTCGCGATGCCGTAGCGCCGCTGAATGGCGCGCGGAACGCAGAATGGTTTGTGCCGGCAAGATCGATTCAACTTTAAAAGGCAAAGCTGCTGGGAGCTGCTCGAACGCAAACGGGGCATTTGTTACTGGCGAGATGTTTGACGTTTCAATCTGTAAGCAACGTATCTTTCTCCGAGCGATACTCCGTACACAACTGCTGAATTTGCCGCAATTTTGGGGAGGAGTGGGAGAGGGAGAGGGGAGGAAGGAGAAGCTACGTCAGCGTCACAGTTAGCTCTATCTTTTTACGACTTTTTACGACCGCCGTTAACATTCCTCTCGAACGAGCTATAGTAGAGTTCCAACCCTACACGACGAACAAAAATCACCGCGTGCGCGACCATTGAATTCCAACGGCCTTGCGTCATTCCTTCTTTTCTTCTTCTTCTTTTTTTTTTTTTTCTTTTTTTGTCTTCTTCCACCCCTTCGGCTCGCACGAACTCGCCCATTCATCCCTTAATTCAATACGAGGCTCCGATGCGACCGAACTCATTTCCCCCGGCGACGTGAAATACGAGCAACTCGTGCGCGTGTGTATTTGTGTATTTGTGTGTGTCGTTGTGTCGCGTATCGCGTATAGCGCGATTCTGCGGGGGCCACCGCATTTATCATCCGTTAGAATGCACACACGCTTCGGAAGATCGTCTTATCGATCCCGACGTTCGGGGGGACGTCGTTGCGTCACGCGTTTCTTCGCGTTTCGTTTGCCAACGTCTTACGCAAACATCGACGACGTTTCCATTCGCGAAGAAATTTTAGAGGAATTTTAGGTCGAGAAACAACAATGACAGAGAGAGAAAGAGAGAGTCAAAGAGAAGTTCAAAGTTGTTTGAATACGATAGAAAGTGGATTGGTAACTAATGGTCAAAAATGATGGAAAATTTCTGAAGAACATCAAGCTTCAGCTTTCATATTCAGTTTTATATATATATATATATATATATATATATATATATATATATATATATATCAGTTTTATATGAATGTAGGGAATCGAATTGCTGAAGCTGAAGCTTGATGTTCTTCCAAATTTTATATATATATAGGTTTCTGATATAATTAACAAGGTTGTTAAAGATCCTTTTTTATGACTCTCGATTAAAACATAAATTGCGTAATGCGTCCTCTTTCACGAGTATTTCTTTTATATTTACATACGTTTTTATCATTGCTGTATTTTCTATTTTATTGTTATCATTCTTCGACAAAGAGATGAATGGTAGAAAAAGTTTAGAAAAAATCAAACTTCAGC